CTCACAACGCGCTAAAGCCAATGCAGACAGCACGCGCACACACACACACACAACGCACCTCTACGCACAAGCCGCTCTCACAAAACACGCGCATGCGCGCGCGCGCGCCCGCAGACACGGACGCGCTCAAGCATCAGTGCGCAGACGCGCGCGCACAAACAACACACAACATATTTTAGCGCAGACGAGGGCAGCAACAACCACAACAACAGCAACGCCAGCCAACAACCAACAGCAAACAGGCAACAGCCAACAACCCAGCGAACAACAATCAGCAATCAATAGTCAACATCCAACAGCCAACAGCCAACCGCAACCGCCGCCAGCACCACCACCACCACCCGCCGCCGCAACAACAACAAGAATAACAAGGCGCCGCGCGGTGGACGCGAGAAACTCAAAACGGCCGCCGAAACTCAAAGCCCTGCGTTTTCCTGCGTCCCAGTTGAAAAAGGTTAAGGCAGTTTCCATGCTGGCAAAGACAACTCCAAGTCACAGAGAAAGGTGGAGCCTGTTTTCTCCCCTTCTTCTTTTGCCCTCACTTCTTGCCGGCCCAGAAAATCTTCTGTGCTTGCCATCTGGCAGGTGTGGATGCGGTGCTGAGCGGGTGTGCTGTCCGTCTGGCACGCAGGTGCGCTTGGCTGATGCAGGGCTGAGCGGGCGCGCTTGAGCAGGTGTGTGTACCGTTTGGCAGGTGAGGTGTGGATACAGTGCTGAGCGGGTGAGACGCGCTTGTTTGGAACTGGTGGTTGTGTTTTTGGGAGGGTGCCACACGTGAGTCAGTGACTACCAACATGGGCACTCAGCAAGGAGACAGTCAACAAAGGCGCCACGCATCAAGGGTGTGTGGCGTGTGTCCAAAAGCGCTTAGGCCTTCAACGTGCCAAGCAAGCGAGAATCTCTAAGGGCAAAAGCAAATTTCAACACGCAGCTGACATGTGACATGCCAAGTCAAACAACAACGCAGCGCAATAATCTCTAGTGGCCAAGTTCCCATCCGGCAACCGTTCCCATCCGGCAGGCCTGGATACAGTGCTGAGCGGGCGCGCTTGAGCAGGTGTGCTTACCGTCTGGCAGGTGTGGATACAATGCTGAGCGGGTGCGCTCACGCGGGTGTGCTTACCATGGACACATCGTTGAGAGTATCCACTTGAGCGGTTGTGCTTACCGCTGCAGTGCTGAGCGGGGCGGTTGAGCGGGCGTGCTTAACTTGGTACGGGTGGATACAGTGCTGAGCGGGTGCGCTTAGCGGGTGTTCCTACCACCTGGCAGGCGTGGAAACCTTGCTGAGCGGGCGCGCTTTGCAGATGCGGGCGCAGTGCTGTGCTTACCATCTGGCAGGCGTGGATACACTGCTGAGCCAGTGCGCAGTGATTGGCACCATCCGCCAAGGCAGAACGTCACAAACATCAACAGCACCAACAACAACACCACCAACAAGAACAGCAACAGCAACACCAACACCAACACCAATACCAGCATCAACGCAAGCAGCGCCGGCAGTAGCAGCAGCGCCAGCAGCAGCAGCCGCCGCAGCGCAGCAGCAGCAGCAGCAGCAGCAGCAGCAGCTGCAGCAGCCGCAGCAGCACCAGCAGCAACAGCAACAGCAACAGCAACAGCAACACCAACACCAACACCAACAACACCAATACCAACAACACCAATACCACCTCCATGACAATAACAGCAACCAACAACCAAAAACCAGCAGCCAACAACAACAACAACAACAACAACAACAACAACAACAACAACAACAACAACAACAACAACAACAACAACAACAACAACAACAACAACAACAACAACAACAACAACAACAACAACAACAACAACAACAACAACAACAACAACAACAACAACAACAACAACATCCAACAACCAGCAACAACAACCGCAACCACCGCAACAACAACAACGCCACCTCCACCAACACCAACACCAACACCAACACCGCCGCCGCCACCACCACCTCCACCAACAGCCACAACAACCAGCAGCAGCAGCAGCAGCAGCAGCAGCAGCAGCAGCAGCAGCAGCAGCAGCAGCAGCAACAACAACAACAACAACAACAACAACACTAACACCAACCTCAACAGTGACCCCGAGCACGTGTACGTGTATGCATGCACAGGCACACAGTGACACACGCGCACACACACACACACAGACGTGTGCACGCACACTCCCGACAATCAGATAGCCTGACAACTTGCAAGGTCAGAGTCTTGCCCGATCTCCGTCTGGACAACAGATGGCTCGATCTACGAGCAGGAGCCTGATGGTGCGCTTGAAGCGTTGTCAGAGACTCGCAATCATGACTGCAAGAGAGCCTTCAATTGAGGTCCCTGCTCACAATGCGATTCTCCGCATTCAGGCCGTTTGCAGCGTGTTTGTGTGCGAGTGTGCGCGTGCGCCTGTGAAATGGATTAGAGCCTTCGTCCGGTTCGTGTTTGCGAGAACTCGGCATTTGCGACGGCTTTGGTGCAAACTAGTGCCTCCCTTCCACCTTTCTCGTGATTTGCATTCGCCCACGGTGGGAGATGCATGTAGCTAGCTACTTCATTTGCTGGTTTGTCAGTTGATTGTAGATACTTGGGCAAGTAGATGGATACTTAGATAGACAGCTAGGTAGCTAGTAAACTAGTCAGCTAGCCTGCTGGTTAGTTTCAGTATTTACCTAGATAGCTCGTTGAGTAGGCAGTCAGCTACTTAGCGTTTTAGACTTGTTGTGTTAGTTATTTAAATGAACTGGCAAGTTAACAGATTTGTCGACCACTTAATTTGCTAGCTGGCTGGTTAGCATCATAGCTTCAGTGGTACGCGTGCTGAAAGTCATGTGCGCGAGACAACCGAACACCTAAAGCAAAGCACCATAGTTGTTTGAGGTCGTCAAGTGCACGAAGGGTCCGCACGCAGAGTTTCACCATTTGATGGCTGCAAAGCATACGTGGACTTGCCAATCCCCGCCCAAAATGTTATCCCGTTGTCCACGCTCAGAATATCCAAATCCCTCTCTCCTTATTCCAGCTCAAGCCGCTGAGACGCCATTTTGACCAGCATCTTTTTCAGACGTAGGCAAGCCCTCCTGTGCGCAAAGCTGTTGTCACCGAAGGCCAAATCCCAGATTTTCATGGAGGTTCAGCTCCGGCAATGCAATGCGCTGTTGTTGCATCTGCACACTCCATGCCAGGCGACATCTCCATCCAATATGCAGCCCATCCGCAGAATATATATATATATATATATATATATATATATATATATTTATTTATACACAAGCATCTTTTTAGTATGTTCTAGAATCAAGCCATATTTCGCGCTTCCCCGGCTCGTTGCAGCACTCGTCCATTGTAGGCTCGTGACATTCTTTTCTGACTTTTCTCTCCGCGCAGGCGAGGCCAACCCCACAACTCTCCTTTGCAAGTGCATGGAGTTGATATTTTCTCCTCAACGGCTCCATCCTCCTCTTGAGCAGTATGCCTGTCTCTCCTTAGTGCAACGGTCCGCACTTTTCTACTCTTTGGGGAGAATCTTTCTCCCGACAGATCTGCTTGGTCTCTTGCGTGCTGCTGTCTTGCCGAGTTTGGCGTTTCGATGGCTCTGCGCTTGCGACTCGCAGAGCTGCAATTGCCACGTACTTGCATGAATCATCTCCAGTGATCCCGACTTAGCCAGTTTAAGGCGCCTATGTCTTTGAGTGGCGTGGCTGGAGTTGATGATGTCGATGATGTTCATTTAGCAATGTCGTTACACTGTATTCAGTAATGAGTTGACTAGTGAAGGTGTCAGTGCTAATTTGTCAATCAAGGTTGAGGCTTGTTCGCTCTGATATTGCTTTTGCTGATGCTGATACCATTGTCATGGAAGCTTAATTGTTGCAAACATGATGTCCTCGTCGTGCAGCATAACTTTGCTAAGATGCAACGGCTTTGCGATCGTGCAGGTCACATAAAAGATCCTCTCAATGATACAGCAAGTAGCGAACTTGTTGAAGCTTGGGTAGCGTGCCATTTCCGTGAGGCAGTCATGTGCCAGTTGTTCCGTGAAAGCCTAGCAAAGCGAGGGTTTATAGAGCCGGCGCCTTGGATTTTCAACACGTTGACAATGTCACAGCTGTGAAGAAATGTCAGGATTCATTCTCCAAAGCTCATTTCTGGGGAGAGTGAAGGAGGAGCTGAGGCGCAAATACTTGTCAAACGGGCGCTCACACAAGCGCTGCTCCTCGGTGCAGGTGTTTCGAGTGGATTACTTTGGCTCCAACGCATCTCTGGCACAGAACGGGGCTCAATTGGCGCACAGCAGAGATTGTTCACTGCCATTCTGTCAGATCTCCGCAGCTCTATAAGCAGATGGCTATGTCCGCAGACATCCCAGGCGTCTTTGAGGCGATCTTCTTCCGGCTGAGGCGTTTTCTGGGGGAATTTGCTGGACAGGTGGGACCCGTGTTCCGTGCGGAGAACTCCAACACTGCACGGCATTTGTGCGAGTTCACAGGCTCGGAGGCTCGCTGATGTTGTTGAGGTTGGCAGTTCTGCCTCGCGCAGGCCTGGACCTGGAAATGCCCATCGCGTGGCACTACAAGGAAGTCATCCAGGTGGAAGCTGCTGGGAATGCGAAGTGGACTCAGTTCACAAAGCGAAGTGGCGAGGTCGTCCACGAAACGCTTGCGGATATCTTTCAATGCGTCGAAGAGGAGCTCATGTGTTGTGCCAGCTGTCGCACAAAAAGCTGTCCATCCAGAAGCATGCCGAAGAGCTTTCCATCATCCGCCAGATGTATCCATCTGAGGCGCGTGCAAGGACATTTGACTCAGCTTGAGTGTCTATGCGAGTTCAGCAGTGAGCCGAGGCACCCAAACTGCCAGCTGGCACTGAGTCTCCCTGCGTGCTGCCCGCATCTTAGACTTTCTTTATCACGTGTCATGTGATCCTCCAAAATGCATCCTGGCTTGGATATCGCCGTAACCATGCCATGGACGTGAATAGCGATTTGCGAAGATCACTAAGGAACTGGGATGAGGCTATGGAGCTTTTGACCAGCAATGGAACGCAGAGAGAGGCGAGGGCAGTCTTTTTCCAACAACCAAACAAACGCGCCCTAGTTGATCTTGCAAAACGGGCCTGTGACTTCCTACGTTGAAAGATAGAGATTTCCAGAGCAAATCTATGACAGCTGTGGCCGCGAGTCCGTGGCACTAAACTCATGCAAGAGCAGCCCTGGCTCGTTCTTAAGACAGGAGCAAGCCTATCTTGTTTGCTGCGAGCCTAGCATGTCTGGCACGGCTTTCTTCAGTTGCTGCGTGAGATAGTTCGGACCCTTGTGGTAACTCTTGCGAGAGCAGGTCAGGCTTGTTCTTTCCACCCGCACAAGCCTAGTTGGTGGCTTGGGGCGGTACTACAGCTGGTACGGTGTTCTTCAGTTGCCGCGTGAGATAGTTCGGACCCTTGTGGTAACTCTTGCGAGAGCAGGTCAGGCTTGTTCTTTCCACCCGCACAAGCCTAGTTGGTGGCTTGGGGCGGTACTACAGCTGGTACGGTGTTCTTCAGTTGCCGCGTGAGATAGTTCGGACCCTTGTGCCTGCTGTGGCCGTGAGTCCGTGGTAACTCATGCGAGAGCAGGTCAGGCTTGTTCTTGCGACCCGCCAAAGTCTAGTTTGCGGCTTAGGGCGGTACTACAGCAAATCACAGTCTGCGAGTACAGCAAAATCACAGGCTGCAAGCCTTGCGCGTTCTCGCTCGGTGTTCTTCAGTTGGCTGCGTGAGATAGTTCGGACCCTTGTGCCTACTGTGGCCGTGAGTCCGTGGTAACTCATGCGAGAGCAGGTCAGGCTTGTTCTTGCGACCCGCAAAAGTCTAGTTTGTGGCTTAGGGCGGTACTACAGCAAATCACAGGCTGCGAGTACAGCAAATCACTGGCTGCGAGCCTTGCGCGTTCTCGCGCGGTGTCCTTCAGTTGGCTGCGTGAGATAGTTCGGCAAATCACAGGCTGCGAGCCTTGCGCGTTCTCGCGCGGTGTCCTTCAGTTGGCTGCGTGAGATAGTTCGGACCCTTGTGCCTGCTGTGGCCGTGAGTCCGTGGTAACTCATGCGAGAGCAGGTCAGGCTTGTTCTTGCGACCCGCAAAAGCCTAGTTTGTGGCTTAGGGCGGTACTACAGCAAATCACAGGCTGCGAGTACAGCAAAATCACAGGCTGCGAGCGTTGCGCGTTCTCGCTCGGTGTTATTCAGTTGGCTGCGTGAGATAGTTCGGACCCTTGTGCCTACTGTGGCCGTGAGTCCGTGGTAGAGCCTTGCGCGTTCTCTCACGGTGTTCTTCAGTTGGCTGCGTGAGATAGTTCGGACCCTTGTGCCTGTGTGGCCGTGAGTCCGTGGTAACTCATGCGAGAGCAGGTCAGGCTTGTTCTTGCGACCCGCAAAAGTCTAGTTTGTGGCTTAGGGCGGTACTACAGCAAATCACAGGTGCGAGTACAGCAAACATTCGGACCCTTGTGCCTGCTGTGTCCGTGAGTCCGTGGTAACTCATGCGAGTGCATGTCAGGCTTGTTCTTGCGACCCGCAAAAGCCTAGTTTGTGGCTTACGGGGGTACTACAGCAAATCACAGTCTGGTTCTTGCGACCCGCAAAAGTCTAGTTTGTGGCTTAGGACGGTACTACAGCAAATCACAGGCTGCGAGTACAGCAAACATTCGGACCCTTGTGCCTGCTGTGTCCGTGAGTCCGTGGGAACTCATGCGAGAGCATGTCAGGCTTGTTCTTGCGACCCACAAAAGCCTAGTTTGTGGCTTAGGGCGGTACTACAGCAAATCACACGCTGCGAGTAAAGCAAATCACAGGCTGCGAGCCTTGCGCGTTCTCGCACGGTGTTCTTCAGTTGGCTGCGTGAGATAGTTCGGACCCTTGTGCCTGCTGTAGCCGTGAGTCCGTGGTAACTCAGGCGAGAGCATGTCAGGCTTGTTCTTGCGACCCGCAAAAGCCTAGTTTGTGGCTTAGGGCGGTACTACAGCAAATCACAGTCTGCGAGTACAGCAAATCTCAGGCTGCGATCTCTCACGGTGTTCTTCAGTTGGCTGCGTGAGATAGTTCGGACCCTTGTGCCTGCTGTGGCCGTGAGTCCGTGGTAACTCATGCGAGAGCAGGTCAGGCTTGTTCTTGCGACCCGCCAAAGTCTAGTTTGCGGCTTAGGGCGGTACTACAGCAAATCACAGGCTGCGAGTACAGCAAATCACAGGCTGCGAGCCTTTCGCGTTCTCGCACGGTGTTCTTCAGTTGGCTGCGTGAGATAGTTCGGACCCTTGTGCCTGCTGTGGCCGTGAGTCCGTGGTAACTCATGCGAGAGCAGGTCAGGCTTGTTCTTGCGACCCGCAGAAGCCCAGTTTGTGGCTTAGGGCGGTACCACAGCAAATCACAGGCTGCGAGTACAGCAAATCACAGGCTGCGAGCCTTGCGCGTTCTCGCACAGTGTTTTTCAGTTGGCTGCGTGAGATAGTTCGGACCCTTGTGCCTGTGTGGCCGTGAGTCCGTGGTAACTCATGTGAAAGCAGGTCAGGCTTGTTCTTGCGACCCGCAAAAGCCTAGTTTGTGGCTTAGGGCGGTACTACAGCAAATCACACGCTGCGAGTAAAGCAATTCACAGGCTGCGAGCCTTGCGCGTTCTCGCTCGGTGTTCTTCAGTTGGCTGCGTGAGATAGTTCGGACCCTTGTGCCTGCTGTGGCCGTGAGTCCGTGGTAACTCAGGCGAGAGCATGTCAGGCTTGTTCTTGCGACCCGCAAAAGCCTAGTTTGTGGCTTAGGGCGGTACTACAGCAAATCACAGTCTGCGAGTACAGCAAATCTCAGGCTGCGATCTCTCACGGTGTTCTTCAGTTGGCTGCGTGAGATAGTTCGGACCCTTGTGCCTGTGTGGCAGTGAGTCCGTGGTAACTCATGCGAGAGCAGGTCAGGCTTGTTCTTGCGACCCGCAGAAGTCTAGTTTGTGGCTTAGGGCGGTACTACAGCAAATCACAGGCTGCGAGTACAGCAAATCACAGGCTGCGAGCCTTTCGCGTTCTCGCACGGTGTTCTTCAGTTGGCTGCGTGAGATAGTTCGGACCCTTGTGCCTGTGTGGCCGTGAGTCCGTGGTAACTCATGCGAGAGCAGGTCAGGCTTGTTCTTGCGACCCGCAAAAGTTTAGTTTGTGGCTTAGGGCGGTACTACAGCAAATCACAGGCTGCGAGTACAGAAATGACAGGCTGCAAGCCTTGCGCGTTCTCGCGCGGTGTCCTTTAGTTGGCTGCGTGAGATAGTTCGGACCCTTGTGCCTGCTGTGGCCGTGAGTCCGTGGTAACTCATGCGAGAGCAGGTCAGGCTTGTTCTTGCGACCCGCAGAAGCCCAGTTTGTGGCTTAGGGCGGTACTACAGCAAATCACACGCTGCGAGTACAGCAAATCACAGGCTGCGAGCCTTGCGCGTTCTCGCACGGTGTTCTTCAGTTGTAACAAATAACATCACACATTGTTTTACGCTTGAGTATTTATCACACGAATGATTTCGTGAGCTAAATAATGTGGAGGAAGTTCCCAAGTCATGTTGAGGTGAAGATATTGGATCATCCTGAGAAGCGATTGCGTGAGATAGTTCGGACCCTTGTGCCTGCTGTGGCCGTGAGTCCGTGGTAACTCATGCGAGAGCAGGTCAGGCTTGTTCTTGCGACCCGCACAAGCACAGTTTGTGGCTTAGGGCGGTACTACAGCAAATCACAGGCTGCGAGTACAGCAAATCACAGGCTGCGAGCCTTGCGTGTTCTCGCACGGTGTTCTTCAGTTGGCTGCGTGAGATAGTTCGGACCCTTGTGCCTGCTGTGGCCGTGAGTCCGTGGTAACTCATGCGAGAGCAGGTCAGGCTTGTTCTTGCGACCCGCAGAAGTCTAGTTTGTGGCTTGGGGCGGTACAACTTTTGTGTGAACACGGGTTGGAGCTACTTTGTTTCTTATTATCATTGTCAATCTTGCTGCAGCAGTTTGTCCTGCAGTTTGGGCTCGACTTTACCCACGCGCAAGCGCTCGCTTGCAGGATGTCATGGCAGATTTGAGCACAGAAGAGGAGAAGCTGTTGGGCCGTCTTGTGCGAGAGCGATATGGCCGACTGCCTACATGGGCTGCTTTTGCCGACCATGCAACTCAAGCGGTTTCAAAGAGGAGCTGGGCTTTTGTGTGTGAATGCCCGAGGTGTCGACCTCTTTTTTCTTGATAAGTATCCATCTTCAGTGAGGCGCTTTTTTCCAACTCGGTGCATGTGTGTGGTGGCTTCTCAATCATTAGCCTATGACAGACCGTTCTACACGATGCCTTCTGAAGAGCAGCCGCCTGGCGCAATAAAGTACTTCCTTGCTGACACTCCCACCTGGGGCTGTTGGGCTTCGGGGCAGGCCTGAGTTTTCCAACTCCTACGATGTCATTTTTCACGGCCAGGAGCGGTAAAGCGTGGACTGGGGGCTTGTGCATTTCCTGGTGTTCAGGAGATCGGAAGCGGGGCTCAGCGATGTCACGATGCAGATCTTTTGGAGGCATGGCCACACAACCTTTGGAGTGGCAGGTTTTTCCTGAGCAGGAGAGGTGTGCTGAGCTTGGAGTACCCACCGGCCCTCTGGCGTGGGCCGCTGAGCTTTCTGAGCTTTAAGAACTCCGAGCTGCGCGCTTTGAGTGTGGCTTTTGCAAACTCCAGGTCGTATATCGAGTCTTTCCGGCACGGGGCTGGAACCTTTGAGCAGATCCAATAGACACATTCCGGAATGTTGATCAAGCACAACTCATACGTTTGTGAACTCAGAGGTGCCGCCACATGGTGGAGTGGGTCTAGGTCTGGAGCGTATTGTGCAGCTGTCCGGTACTGAGATATGACAGTAGGATGGTACTGATTTCGCAGCCATGCACACAGGTACCTTGGCCTGGACAACATCCGCAAAGCGGTCATGTTTACGCGTGATCCAACCCGGCTTTCTCCCTGATTGCCGACTTTGGATATGCGCTGCCCGCGTACATAGATGATGTTATAAGAGATTTTCGCTTGAGCGTGCAAGGCACTAGTCAAACGGCGCACACTTGCTTCACACAGATAAGTTGGTATTTCAGATTGCAATGCGAGCAACAATCGTTCTGTGCTGCTGTTGGGCTCTGAAGACCTCGAGACGGGCAGTGGCTCCTGAACATCCCGTTGCTTCAGAGGCAGCTGTTTGCATGGGACTCCTGCTGCAACCGTTTTGCCGGCAGGCATGGCAGCGATGCCTAAGCGATGGGCCGGATGCCTAAATGGCCAGCGCGGAGTTCAAAAGGAAGTTAGGAACAGGCGTGGAGTTGCTGACGTTTCAGGCCTGGAGTTTCTTGAAGGAAGGCATCAAGTTGGGGCCACAGTCATATAGCTATGACTCAAGCGAAGGGCTGCGAGACCGCAGTGGGCTCGCGTCGTGGTAGGTTCCGCGCTGGACGACTCTACGAGACCTTTTGGAACTCGCAGCAGGGGCCATGGACAATTTTTACTTGCACCAGAGAATCGAGATGGTGACACATGACTGCATGCCTTCACCTTTCCCTTTTGCACTTGAAATTCCTACAGTCCTACGGAGAATGGATGTTTTGTGACAGGTCCAACGTGAAGTACACTGTCATTTTCCTGTATCCGGGAGCGCTTTTCTGGGTCCGATGGCGTGCAGAGACGCAGTACAAGTGCCCGTACAGCCATATCACGACGCAGACGCAATGTGAGTTTCGCAGAAGAACATGGGAAGTGACGTGATGGCACTAGACTGCAGTTTATCAGGTACAATGTCTTCATCGCTGACAAGCAGGCTCTGACTGAAGTCTTGTGCCGTGCCACCGTAGTTCAAACGTGCTGCTCTGATGCCGATCATGTTTCATTTAAGATTTAGACTCTATGGCTTGGGTACGAGTGAAGACTGAAAGGTGGAGCCCGACACAACTCAGAACCTTTTCTCCAGCTGGAAGAATGGTTCGGCCGGTATCCCAGTCGGGAGCAAATTGGTACAAGTATGGAAGGCATGAGTGTGTTTCTTGTCAGGCCTTCTACTTCCCAGCTATGGCAACGGTGCAGGAGAGAGATGCTCCATTTGCATGAGCATCATTGAACCATGCCTTGCACCTGGTACAAGATATGGAAGGACTTGAAGCAAAGTGTCTACGGTGAGGCATCCAAGGCGGCAAAATGCTTTGGCTCGTTGAGGGAAAGACAAACCAATCCGGTCCACGGCGGCATTTGCCCTGCAGCATGTCAAATGAAAATGCATTTTTAATGTGCGCACTTTACGCCAAAGTGACACCCATGTGTCGCTCGAGCTACAGGTGCCTCCTGCTGTCCGTGCTGGATGCCATGGACGAATGATGGAGGTGGGTTCTACAATCAACGCGGTAAGTGTGCCCTTGCTTTTCCGATGTGAGCGAGACATATGGCGGGATAGAGTTTGCAAATAACTGTTGGCTCAAGAAGGCCTGTAGTGGGACGATCGTGATCTCCTGGTTCTTAGATGGGCTGGGGCAAGGGGAGACCTAGCACATGTACCTGGTCTGAAGTACGATCTAGTGCCCTGGGTGGCCATGCATCGCTTTCGGTGCTGCTTAAAAGGGCCTTTGCGCTGCAGCAGTTGCAGAACGCATTCAGTACGCACAATGTTCATCTTGCACATGGGCAGGATACTGACAACTTGGCGTTGGCGGTCCGCACTTTCTGCAAGTCAGATACTCAACCTGCTAAGATCCCGTAGACCCCACTAGTACAGGTTCATGGGGGAGCCCCCCTCACCGAAGCCTTATGCGGAGCGCTTTTGCTATCCCTTGCGTTTTTTTGGTATCTTTCATCGTGAGAGGGAGGCTTTAAACAGACCTTTGCACTGAGGCGAGATCCTAAGATTGTCCTTTGGGAGGAGGAGTGCAGTTGCGTGCAAATGTCGGCTTGAGCTTCACAAGTAGTTGTGTGTTGTTCGTGTTTGGCTAATTCCGCAGGAGACCGAGAAGGTGGCAGCTTGAGGCTAAGCTTGAGGCTGGAGCATGATATCAAAGCATCGAGCAGTGCTGTGTGCTTTGTGCGGTATTCATGATACGAGCGTAGCTTGATGGCAGTTGGCATTGGCTTCTCTTTGGGTGAACATGCTTTCACATTGCTGTTGGTCAACATAGCTCCTAGCATGAGCTGGAAGCATTGGACACTTGTCATGGGGAACTTTCATTCAGCATAAGAAGATGCATAGATGCATGCATTCCTAGTGATGATCTCATGAAGCTTGGTCTTCCCCGTCTCTGTTGGTTTTGTGGTATCCACATCGAGTGACAAGACACCAGCTTCAAAGTGATGCACTTCATTGGATGTAGCATTGTGTGACGTCTTTCTGCCAGGAAATGAGATCGCCAAGGATGAATTCCTCAGGGGCACAGCAACGGAGCCTTGCGAAGCCTCTGACAACTTGATTTTGATTTAAGGGATGAAACACGGGCCAAATACACGCAACCAGCATGACTGAGCGGCATCAACAGCAGAACAGCATCAACACAATCGCTTTTTTTTACACTTGCATTCCCTAGTTCTGGAGTTTTGAACCAGGCGAAGAAACAAACAAGTGCGGGTCGGTGTCAGAGCATGTGTGGTCTGGTAGTGCGGAGGCAGCAAGTGCACAATCACTTTGCTGACAATTTTGCCGACTTGTTCATGTGTGGCTCAAGCCGACTTAAAACAACACTTGGGTCGCAGCTCGCAGCTTTGCGCTGCAAAATATTGCTGTTGCTGCAGAGCCTCGTCACCTTTGGCTGACAAGATGTCTGTCTGGCGCTGAGAGCAACTAACAGAGTGTCCTGATTCTGTATCGACATCGTGATTTATGTGCCCTGACAGTTCATCTAGGCCGGATGCCGCTTGGGTCAACTTTTTCATCAGTATGTTCAGCAGACTCGTGCGGCAATCTCAGAGATGCAGTAACACGCAGCAAAACACATTCATATTGTATGTTGTCAGATAGACACCAGGCTCAGAACAGCTTCTCATCGGTCATCAGCAAGCGTGCGGGGCTGATGGCAGCTATTAAGGCAAAGCGACCACACTTAGCTCAGGACTTCAGTTTTTGAGCTCCACTGAGAATCTGAAAAGGGGCTCCTTTCAAGTCTGGGCCTCAGTTGGGTTGCAGTTCTCATGTCCACTGCTTCCACATGACTGGCTAAGTTCCCCTTGCACCAAAGCGACTGCCATGCCTTCGCAATGGCACAGGACTGTTGCGTCACATCATCCGTAAGCTTCATGCACTGTCAGCTTTTGACAGCGTTCCTCACTCCGCATGTGAGGAAGGGCAGACTGTGCACGGAGGTGGGAGAGCCTGTTTTTGATGCATGTGCCAGACCACCTTGCAAGGCGTCATAGCAACCGTGGTGGAGGATGCCTTCCACTGAGCATGAAGTCTTAGAGACAGGGTGGTTGCATGCCCGCATCGACTTGCACTTCTCTCAAATCAGGCCACCACCATGCACATTTGCGCGAATGATGCACGGAGCCGGAAGGTGGGAACCGTTCTCAAGACGGTGGTTGGCGGCAACCCAAGCATGTGATGCTTGAGCTGCGGAGATGTGCAGGCGGTGACAACAGACTTGAGCCTGACTTACGCCTGTGCCTCAAATGGCTTGAATTTCAGCCTCTTTGAATGCCAGTTGGCATGCTGACAAGGTTGGCGTTGGAAAGGTTGGAAGGACCTTGCAGATCGACACTCGCATTCTGAAGGCTCGTCCTGAAGACTTGTCAGGTGACAAACTCCCAAGCATGCACAATCCTGGATGTGGGCTTCAGAGACCCTGAAGATTCCACAAAATATACCATGTTGATTGTGGTTGGGTTTTTTCCAAGTTACTGAAGCTTGCTGTTTGGTAGAATACTGCAGAGACCTGGGCTCGGTGAGTCTAGTGCTTGCAGTCTTGCCCGCCAGATCGGTGGCGTCATGGGCGTTGCGGACGCGGAGGTGACCGACATCACATCTGGGAAGGCAAGCGCCATCACATTCATGTACACACTATTCCAAACGCACTTCTGCGCAGGGGCAAAGGTTGCAACAGAGTAATACAATCATTGTAGCATGGTACACGTGATCTAGTGTCAACATTTTCTCGTTTGACGATATCCAAATCTGGCAGCTCATCGCGGTTGGCCGCCACAGCATGATGTTTGTCGGTGAGGCAGGTGAGAGCGGAACAGGAGCTCGAGCCTCGACTCGACACTGGCCAGGACGGCTCGGCCTTGAAGTTTGCGCAGTCCTTGAACTCCGTCTTCGACGTTTAGCCCCGTGTACTTGTCGGAGCCGGGACGGCGAGGTCCAGATTGCCGGCAATGCTTTGTGCAGAATGTAGAGTGTCGAGCAAACAAATGTTCGACTGATAGGTTTCAATAGGAGACAACCTCCAGTCACAGACTTTCGAAGTGATTGCGGCCTTTTTTTCCTGATGCCGAGAAGTCTGTGAGCGATCAGCTCTCAACCTCAAGTGACGTGTGTGCGACTTTTGAATGGTGTGGCGCAAGTGCGGACATTGGCATTCCGGACACCAAAAACGCAGTGCTCCACTTATATGCTTTTACGGGTTGAGTTTGGATGCCAAGCGTGCTTGGGTTTGGAGTTCGCAACACAGATTTTGCGAGTCTTGGCCCAGATGTCAGGTAGAAACATGTGAACCGCGATGGAAGGATTCTTGGAATCATCATGTGGTTCACAAAGAATCAGTAGAAGTCCAGAGCTGACAATGCGTCTTCACTTCAGCAAGTCGAGTTGCACATGATGTGCAAGAGACCTACATGTCAGATCTAGCAGCTGATCGCCACAGTACTGTTGTGTTGCCCACAGTATCGCACGACACTGATTGCATGATGGCATTTGCCGCTGCCTTCTCTCCAGTCCTAGACTGAGGAAGGCTGAGCAAGGTACTCCTTGGAAGATGCACGCAAAACACATGGAGCATCAGAGGTATGCTGGAGAGAAATGGCATCACCTCTGCTCCAGCCTTACAGCCTCGACGGGACTAACTTCAGCAGCTTTGGCAAGGGCTTGGATTCGAAATGCGAAGGCTGGTGCTGCCATCGATATCTCCTTTTCCTGACACCCAGGCGGGTTCTTTAATATTCTCTTGCTGTTGGGAAGCCACAAGGTCATATGTCATACACTGTTTTCAGCGGCAAATTGAACATGGCGGGCAATGAAGGGACGAGTTTCCAGCAGCCCGGGCATGCCAAAGGGTGCCTTAGATATCAACAGGTTGGCAGACAAGCAGCAATCTCATTTTTTTCAGCGGCTCTGTTTTTTTCAGACGAGTATAAACTCAGAGGCTGTGTGAGGCACAATCAGCCATTTTTGTTCCTAGTGGGAATGTCAGCCTGTCAAGGCTCTATGTTCTGGGTCTGGCTCCCAGTGTTCAGAGGAAAGCTCACGCGCAAAACCGCTACGCTCCAGGAGTTCTGAGGGTGGCAACGGAGTGCCCGACTTGGTCGAGAACCGTGAAGAGTTCGAGTCTTTTGATCCATGAGGCTGGAAAAGTGGATGCGTCCTAGCCCAAGTTTTATCAAACTCGCAATTGGCGCTGAAGCAGCCATCGGCCTTGCAGGTACAATGAACTTTCGCATGCTTTTGCTTCACGCACACACACACACACACACACACACACACACACACACACACACACACACACACACACACACACACACACACACACACACACACACACACACACACACACACACACACACACACACACACACACACACACACACACACACACACACACACACACACACACACACACACACACACACACACACACACACACACACACACACACACACACACACACACACACACACACACACACACACACACACACACACACACACACACACACACACACACACACACACACACACACACACACACACACACACACACACACACACACACACACACACACACACACACACACACACACACACACACACACACACACACACACACACACACACACACACACACACACACACACACACAAACACACACACACACACACACACACACACACACACACACACACACACACACACACACACACACACACACACACACACACACACACACACACACACACACACACACACACACACACACACACACACACACACACACACACACACACACACACACACACACACACACACACACACACACACACACACACACACACACACACACACACACACACACACACACACACACACACACACACACACACACACACACACACACACACACACACACACACACACACACACACACACACACACACACACACACACACACACACACACACACACACACACACACACACACACACACACACACACACACACACACACACACACACACACACACACACACACACACACACACACACACACACACACACACACACACACACACACACACACACACACACACACACACACACACACACACACACACACACACACACACACACACACACACACACACACACACACACACACACACAACACACACACACACACACACACACACACACACACACACACACACACACACACACACACACACACACACACACACACACACACACACACACACACACACACACACACACACACACACACACACACACACACACACACACACACTCACACACACACACACACACACACACACACACACACACACACACACACACACACACACACACACACACACACACACACACACACACACACACACACACACGTACATCCCTCCAATGAGGCTGGGCTCCTGGCCATTTCAGGTGAGGATCACAGATTCTGGCAGAAACATAAGTTTCATGTGCCGCGACGCGCTTCTCTTGCCATGACAAGGCGCAAGCCCTTCCTTCCACTGGCTGGAGCTCCAGGTGGAGCATGTGAGTCCGGCGCAAATTCCACCGGTGCCTTGCGACGCAACGGACGCCATGCGGGTCGAGGGAAGGTTGAGCTGGCCAGGTTCGGAGAGCAGGCCTTAAAGGATTTCGATGCTCTGAAGCAGCGCTCGGAGGACGATCAAGAGTTGCACCAAGTGCACAAACACACGAATGAAGAATGCGAGGAGAACAGACTCCAGGATGCCATGGATGCCCTTGACGCAGCGCTTCAGGCTTTGCAGCGAGAGCCTTTGCGAAGTGATTCGTTGGCCGCATATCTTGAAGACCCCAGCCTGGTGCTGAGGCTGGCAGAGGAGATCTGCAGGTGCATATCACATGATCTTGCAGCGCGAGATCACGCAGTTGCAGCTGGCTAAGGTTCAGTGGGATCGGGCTCAGCGCAGCATCGCGCAGCTGAGGCTTCACGTACGCCAAGCAGTCATGAAGACGGAGAAGGCGAACTGTGTCCAGCTGGACGGCCAGATGTACAGAATGACTCCCAAGGTCGTGCACCTAGGTGGGAGCCTTGTGTGAGAGAGTCGAT